GTCCGTGCAGCATTTCCACGATATCGTTATGATCAATTAATGGGACTTGGCCGGAAAGTGTTCTTGCCTCTATCATTAGCTCGGGTAGTCCCCGTTTCTGGTGTTTTAGTCACCTTTCAATGGCTCCCTTAATGTTGTGCGAGGAATTGCCCTATTGACTAATGGGAAGCGGGCTAGTCCCCGAAAATGCCCTTCCTTTGGAGTTGGGGCTCCAAATCTGACTTGCTTGTTAGGAAGTAAAGGGCTGTACCCTCCTTTCTACTAGAAACTAACTCAATGATCTCATAAAAAAATAAAAAATTGACTACCTCAGGACCAACGACAGCCATCTATATGTTCTGGAAAGTGAGGAAGTTCAAGCTCTTTTTGCTGCTGCTCTTACTTCAAGTCACTCTAAAGCTTCTGCAGAATTATGGCACCATAGACTAGCTCATACTAGTTATGCCAATGTTGAACTTTTGAGTCAACTTATATTACTACCTTTTTGCAGTCAGGTTCCCTCCAAGATTGTATGGTTAGGATGTCAACTTGGCAAACATCACAAGCTGCCATTTTCTAATGCTAATCAAAGTAGTTCTTGCTTCTTTGAGTTAATTCATGCTGATTGTTGGGGATCTCCTGAACTAACTTCTCTCTCTGGTTCTCATTACTATGTTAGCTTTGTTGATGACTTTACACGCTATACATTGATTTCTTTTTTGAAGTCTAAAGCCGATGTGCTAGTTTCAGTCCTTTTAGACTTTGATGACCCGACACTATCAGTTACCAATCAAGTTTCTTCGAAGTGATAATGGTAGTGAATTCTGCTCCACATCATTCCGAACATTCTGCTCTTCTATTGGAGTAAAGCAACAATTATCATGTCCTTACACTGCACCTCAAAATGGAGTTGTTGAGAGGAAGCATAGACATATTAAAGAGTTGGGACTTTCACTGATGTTTCAAAGTGAAGTGCCAAAGCACTTGTGGAGTGAAGCTTTTCATACAGCAATCTTTGTCATCAACAGATTACCAACAAGTGCAAATTCGAATGGTATGTCTGGTTACAGGTCAGTTACCTGACTATTTCATCTTAAGAGCCTTTGGGTGTATATCTTATGTTCATGTGGATAAAAGAGTGAGGAGAAAGTTATCCCCGAAGGCAGAGACATGTGTATTTGTTGGATATAGTGATGAGCATAAAGGGTACCGATGCTTTTTTTCTCCTAAGACAGGAAAAATGGTTGTTTCCCGTCATGTAACGTTTGATGAGAATCATTTTGACTTTGCCACTTTAACCTCATCTACTACAGCGTCTTCTCCTAGTAAACCATGGTGTACTCCACCTGAGGAACCTTCAGATACGTCAAATGGAACTGGAACTCCAACAAGTCCAACTCACTCTATTGGCACAAGTGCTGAACAAAATAATCAAGATGAAAATGAAGTCACTGACCTCTCTCAAATTCAACATACTCCAGCTGTGCCATCAACCAACCCAAACCTGTCTCAGTCATCAGATTCTTCCAATGAAAGTGCTAGTTTGCCAAATACTTATCATCAAGGTGGTGATCAGGTTGAACCTGCAGAACAAGGTAATGCTCCACGACGATCCTCCCGCAGTGTTCAACCAAGGCGATACTTTCCTATAGAAAATTGTTCACTCCAAGGGAGCACCATAACAGAGCAATCCTCCACCAAAGCACAAGGTACAGAATCTGTCTTACACTCTGTTTTTCTTTCTACCAGCTCTCAAGATTCAGAACCAACATCTTTTCGTGAAGCTGCTAGTGACCCTAACTAAGTGGGTTGAAGCAATGAATGCAGAGATTCACGCTCTCCTTCAACATCACACATGGGAAATAGTGCCAAGACCTACAAAGAAAAATGTGATTGGAAGTAAGTGGGTTTCTAAAATCAAGTATAAACCGGATGGCACAATTGAAAGATTGAAAGCGAGACTAGTAGCGAAAGGCTATAATCAACAATATGGATTAGACTATGAAGAAACCTTCAGTTCAGTTGTGAAGGTCGGAACTGTAAGATTAGCATTAGCTATTGCAAACTGCTATGGTTGGAAGCTTCATCAACTAGATGTCAAAAATGCATTTTTGCATGGAGACCTACAAAAGTATATATGGAGCAACCACCAGGATATCATGTATTAGATGATTCTAAATGGGTTTGAAAATGGAGAAAGGAAATCCATGGGTTAAAGCAAGCCCCACGAGCCTGGTTTGAAAGCCTCGGCAAAACTCTTCTTTCTAATGGTTACAGTCGAAGCAAGTCAGACAACTCACTGTTTTTCAAGAGAGAAGGTGTGAAACTAATTATGGTACTTTTTTTTTATGTTGATGACATAATAGTTACAGGAAATGCAGAAGACGAAATTGATCAGCTAAAACTCATACTTGGTCATCAATTTGCCATGAAAGACCTGGGAGAACTAAAGTCTTTTTTGGGCATACAGGTTGAGCGCTCATCTAGTGGAATGAAGATCACTCAGAAGAAATATGCTCTTGATCTTCTAAAAAGATTTGGTTTGAATGACTGCAAACCGGCACCTACCCCTATGGTTCTTGGACAGCAATTCTCACAAAAAGAGAGTAACCCTGTCAAACATCCAGAGAAGTCAAGAAGTCTTGTGGGAGCACTTCAATATCTCACTCACTTTTACACGCCCAGATAAACCATTTGCTGTAAACCAAGTATGTCAATTCATGCATGATCCTCGTGAGTTACATCTTCAAGCTGCCAAGAGAATCCTTCGTTATGTGAAAGGAAGATTAGCAGATGGGCTTTTATTCCCTACTGTCAAAAGGCAACCTAATCTAGTTGCTTACTCAGATGCTGACTGGGGCGGAGATCCTGATTCAAGGAGATCAATTTCAGGTTTTTGTGTCTTCTTTGCTGTCTTATGCTTATGTTGGCATATTCTAATAGGAATTAGCCATATCGGAAATAGCCGGCAAAGTCAGCATCTTACCCGGCAAGCTCCGCATCTAGGATTCTGTAATCACACCCGGCGAAAGGCGATTCTTAATAGCCTAAGGTGCGTAGCGGTCTCCCACGGGACGGTAACTACCTCTAAGACGAGTGAAGAAAGAAGGGGGGATAATTTCTTTTAACATCTTTATCCCAGAATTCATCATCTGCAAGCAATCCACTTCCGTAAGAGCGTTGACTTCAGCTTCTTTTTGGCTACCCTTTAACTGACTCAACCTATTGCGGCTAATAGATATCTGCTTGCTTCTTGCTTACTTGCAACCTTTAGTTGATCTCCACCTTCAAGCTTTAGTACAAGCAACTCTTTCAAAAAGGGGAATTCCGGTCCCTCCCTATCCGAGATGTGCTCTTGAAAGATCTCCCTCGACAGCGCAGTTAGGTCTTAGAGAAGGAACTGATTTACCTAAGTAAGTAGCCAACTTCCGATAATCATTCCTTGCTTTGCGCTAGATTCAGTATGGTGATACACATTTTTGAAATAACAAGGGAAAATAGCTCTTCTTAAGAGAATAGAATGGCTGCTTTTGGGAGTTCTCTTTCCCTCTAACCTGTCACTCGAAATGAAATAATAGAAGACAAAGCTACGCATTCACTCGTAGCACTCGTTAGGCCTCCCAAACAAATGAAAATGCCGACATGGAGCCATGCGCATGATTCAAAGAGTCACTAGAGGCGAAACTTAGTAAGAATACCCGGTAATGTCACGAATGGATGAAGCAAGCACTTTTAGATGGTATCGATCAGAGCCAATCAACCCTGTTCTTTCCTGATTCTCGTCACAACAATGCCACTAGCCGAAATAGAATCCGTCAAGTAAGAGATAAGCCAGAGATCCAGATCATTTTAATACGTCACCGGTCCGAGATGGGCCTCATTGCGAAAAAGAGGATGTTTTTTCTATCACTAGGAGTAGTAGCGCTAGCGGCGCAGAAGGAGAAAGTAGCTAAGCGCTATGAAGCTATCTAGATAGTTTCCAGCTGAGGGAAATTGGCTTCTACCACTATTCTTCTTCTCCCCGAGGGTTGCTTGCTTCCATTCAGGTAGCTATTGCTGATAAATGGCCGAAAAAAGGAAAGTCTTATTCCACTCGCTTTCTCTCTTTCTGTATCGGATTTTCAGCTTTCAAGCGCTACGCCCCTTTTTTATTATTCTTTTTCCGTCTCTGAAGTGAGTGAAGTCAAGCTAGCGTCAGCAAATCGGACATAAGCAATACACGTAAATCCCCGTCCTTTAGAAAGACGATAGCGATTCCCTTCCAGTGTTTTAATTAAGAGTTCAAAGAGACTAATTAATGCTAAAAACTGATTAATCGCGGACACCCTATAGCTATTGCAGTTAATCCATATCTGGAATTAGGTAAGACGAAGGGAGGAGTTTTAAGAGTAACCTATAAGAAGAAATGGTAGGAATACCCGGAGCGTAGCTCTCTCGGAACTTACCTCAGCGACTTGAAGCATTGCTTCCTATCGGCTTCGAGCCGAAAGAGAGTGAGATGGAACCCTGAAGAGATCTAGCGTTACGCAATCTTTCTAAGAAAGTCATTTCAGTCATCGATTGCCTGCTATTCCCACTTCCTGACGTGAGGAGTGAAAGGCTGGAAAGCAGTTCTTTTCCTAGGTTGACTCATGAGTTAGTGTGCAAGACCAATTGCTAGGCTTTCCTCTTTCTTAGATGTTCTAACAGTGGGATTTTAGCTTTGGTGGATTTCCCACCAAAGAACCATCCTTAGATCCCTAGTTTTAGAGCGGATTCTCCTTCTTTCTTTCCCGTTCCTGAAATCACAGAAGATGAATGCCAGGAGTCCATTAGGGGATTGGGCATCTTCTTCTTGTTCCCTCGGATGATAAAGGAAGAACTAGAACAAGAGAAGAGCCACCTTATTCCATTGACTTCAGGATTGTTTTGTTTACATCTTCTCTAATCAAAAGAAAAGCTCTTTGGATACTACAGAGCTTATTTCCGTGATTTCTTCAAATGTTGGAATAGATCTCAGAGTCAAGAATTCTGCAATGCAA